GGATTAGGAGATTTATGAAAAAGGTTGTGTGGTACTTTTAGGTGGTGGAGTTCGTGTTGGACCCAGGAGTTGAGCTTTCTTATTTTCGACGACAGTTGCGAGGTGAGTTATCCTCACTATACTAAGGGGTCTAAGGCACCAAGGCTGGCCCATTGGATATGATATCCTAGTAGTTGTATTATGTTGAGTCGGAGTTAGTTATGCATGCTAGTTTGATACGCTTGAGGGTAGGACTGTAGGACTACCTGTGATACTGATTGATTTCCTGTATGTGCATTATCTGTTACATGTGATATGTTATGTGGGATGGGTTGAGGTTGTACTGCTCTGTGCGGTAGCCAACAAACCCTAGAGTATTCCAGATATGAGTTGAGGGCCCGGTAGGCATTCCAGACTCATACTGAGGACTTGGGGGCATTCTAGATACGAGATGAGGGCCTGGTAGGCATTCCAGACTCGTACTGAGTGCTCGGTGGCAACCCAGATGTGATTTGAGGGCCCGGTAGGCATTCCAAACTCACATTGTGGGCCCAGGGGTATTCCAGTCTGTAAAGCTGTGGACCCGTTTTGTGCTGTTCTGCTCAGTTTGTTATGATATGTGAAGGTGTGACAAGGCTATGTGGACTGTATGTGTATAGGTATTTTGGGGGTAACTCACTAAGCTCTCGGGCTTACAGTTTCAGTTTATTGTTTCAGGTACCTTAGGGGATCGCGGCAAGGTGAAGGCATGATCGTACAACTCCTCCTATTGTGTTATGTTTCTAGGAAAACTCTGATATAAATGTATTTGAAAACAAAGTTGTAATGTTTTGATGAATTTGATGTGTTTTTGAAAGTTTAAATTTGGCTTAAATTTTTGAGTGTTACAGTCTCACATAGGATGCGATGATTGTGAGAAAAACCTAAAGAAACCGGTCATAAAATACTAAATGTGTACAAATACAACAATGACTTATTTTGCAACAAAAAAATATATTAAAGACTAAATATGGAATATAAATATACATATTCAGTATTTATGACCGGCTATTTCATGTTAACCGAAATAAATGACTTAATAGGATAATATTTATCATTTTCTACACATTTACTCCTTTTATATATATATATATATATATATATATATATATATATATATATATATATATATATATATATATATATATATATATAGGAGTAAATGTGTAGAAAATGATAAATATTATCCTATTAAGTCATTTATTTCGGTTTACGTTAAACAGCCGGTCATAAATACTGAATATTTATATTTAAAAAGTTGAAGGAGCAAGTGTGGACGAAAAAAAAAAAAAATTAATGACTAAATATATACAAATAAAAAATATATTACTCTTTTAAGTTATTATCCCTATTATTTATTTACCGGTCAATTTATGATTTCTCTAATTATTTATTAAAAGGTTGTTTGGTTAAAATTATTTAGGAGCTTTTTAACTTATTATCGGTTCCGTTATGGTATAAACCAAAATTAATATTTGGATAAAAACTTTTTAAAAAATAGATTATAAGAGTTGCACACCAGAGATAAATCATTTTTTTTGATAATCACTGATCACTAACTTATCAAAAGTTTGTCGAACATCTTTAAAAACTTTGTTTTCGTACCACTATAATTTTATTTAGCTAATAAGTAAAGAAGTATTTTATAAATTTTAAATAAGCTATCCCAAACACCCTGCGAAGAAAATGCAGTGGTTAATAAGTAAACTCTCACATATGTGTCTTAGACCGTTAGACGTGTTGATATGGGTCATTTCCTCATTTAGATATTAAGATGATGGGGTTTATTATTTTTTAGTTTTTATTAAATATGTATTTATTTAATAATATCTTATTAGTTTATACAATAGAATTTCACCTATTTACGATCGATGTTTTTTTTTTTTTTTTATCAGTTAATGCAAAAGACATAAATTATGCACAATCACAACTTAATGATTTAAATACGGTAGACAAATTATCACATATTTTTATACTAAATAATTTAATTTCATATTTCGTTTTAAAAACTATCTCGATTTATAAATTCAAATAATTATGTCAAATCTCTTTCTTGATTGTATTAACAAACATTTCTTTTTTGAACGGAATATTAAATAACATTTATGAGAAACCTAAAAGCAAAAGAGGCCTCTGGCCTTAAATTGTATAAATGCACCGTCGAATACAAAAGATACCCTACAAAACACGGTTAATGATGCCATGCCACCGTATACGTATCTCATCCAATCTTCCCTACATTCCCTTAACCTTAATATACATATTTTTTTATTCTTTTGTGAATTAACAATCTTCCAATTATTCCAGTCTGTTTATACAGTTTTTGTTATAATGGCCAAACAAATTTTAATTAATTTGTCTAACGAATGTGAGTAAACGAATAAAAAAATTATATATTTTTTCATACCTTAAGAATAAAAATAATTAAGGGTAATGTGTTATGCACCTCAAAACAAGCCAAGACAAATCCTTTGGCATGCCATGGGATTGGAAAGAGAACTCTGAAACGAAAGTTCTTACCCATCCTCCTTCCTATTTATTATAATGGTATTTAATATATAAAATTATGTGAATGCTACTTTACACGTATCATTTATAAGTATGATAAAGGAATTTTTGAGTGACAATATGACAATTCAACATTAATTGGTGGACATGCATGTAATACTAGTCTCATCAAATGTTTACTGACAACAGGTACAAACCAGTTTAGTCCATTCTAATATCCTCTATGTTCTTACAAATAGAATCGAAAAGCTTTGTTTCATATATATATATATATATATATATATATATATATATATATATATATATATATATATATATATATATATATATATATATATATATATATATATATTATTCGTAGCCTAGTTATCTTGGATTCACCATTGTGATCTCTTGCCAACAATGATGCATGAGCATTTCTCTGAAACCTCACCCTGCAAGCATATACCTTCTGTTCTCAATATTAGTTTGATGTGCAATAGGTAAAAGGTCATAAGATGATCATATAATTAAAAAGGAAAAAAACGCGTGGTGTGAGGTCAAAATCCGTGTGAATTGAACTGAAATACTTCTTGCGGTGTAAGCAGATTCGGGGGAGTATAAAAAGTCAACATAAAGCTGCACCCCAATATTCCATACTTCAACATGCTTTCATTTCCATACACCGTGAATGATTAACGGATGCAAATAAGGTTGAATTAAATACCCTTGCACAATTCAAATTCTTTCATGTTAACCCCTCTAACATATTACATTTACTTAAGGTGTATTCAACCAATAGAACATGGCTTATTTAGTTAACAAATGTTTCCTTTGCTGAAAAATAGAATGTTTCCTTTGCAATGAAGTAAGAAAAAGAATGTCCGAAAAGCACCGACATTTCAACAATCATATTTTTGTCCGGTATTCATTTAAAGTTTGGTCATTTTTGGTCACTTAACTTTTGATTTTGTTTTCATTTGGTTACTTAACTATTTTTAAGTTGTCATCAAACTTTTGTATTTGTGTTCATTTAATCATTTAATTTTTGGATTTGTCACTTAACTTTTGGATTTGTGTTCATTTAGTCATCTAACTTTTAAAAATATGTTCATTTAGTCATTACACTTTAAAAAAAAATAAAAGTTTACTGACTAAATGAACATAATTTTCAAAGCTAGTGACTAAATGAGCACAAATCCAAAATTTAAGTGACCAAAACAAAAGTGAAGTGACTAAATGAACACAAAGCCAAAAGTTTAATGATATTTTAAAACTTAAAAAAAATTAAGCAACCAAATAAGTACAAAACCAAAAATTAATTACCAAAAATAACCTAAACCCTATTCATTTTAATAACTACAAATCATATCCACGGGTTTATAGCACAACATATCAAATATTGTTGTGAAAAGTGTCTCAAACCCTCAACCATAGGTTGAAGGTTCTAGTCTCATTTGGAGACAATGATTGGTGGAGGAGTATCATAGGGATACTTGTCTCCGGTTCTAAAAAAAATAATTGGAAATCATTCCTAGCACTAATAAAAATTGTTTAATGTATATTTCTACTAGTAATTAGACAAACATCCAAAACTTCACTAATTAAAAGTTATACATGCAAATCGATGGAAATTACAAATTCCAAATAAAGAAGTTATTAGTATTAAAAATAAATCACTAATATGTAATTAACACTTATATATTCACAATGAACAATTACATGATACATTGCCTCAATGTGGGTTAACCCCTTTGAGATAATGTATTCAAGTTTTCTTCGACTTTCTTGTGTTAATCAAAAGACAAGGGTTGCAAATTGAAATTCAACTTACTTAAAGGTTTTTTTCGGAAGAGTTATATATGGGACCCGGGTTCAAAAAGCTCTTCACCGTCAGCACACGGTCTCCTTTGCATATATATATGGAGTTGCAGCTGCCATAACTTTATTCACCACCAACTTCCTCCTCAAATCTTCCTACTTACCTTACCCCACACACAAATAACTCTAGATATGAAAATGAGTGACAATAGCCCATACAGTTCTGTGAAGATTTTATGTTATCTCATTGGTCTAATCATCTTCTTAAGCACAACCCAGTTTGGTGCTGTTGACAGCAGGGCCTTACGGGCGCCGACACAACTCAATATCAGCAACGACGCTAACAGAGGTGAGGGAAGGACTGAGTTCAGGGTTTCTTCAAGCGTCAAAACGAAGGGTGGTGGCTTGCCGTTGAGGAAGATGGAATCGGCATTCACATTGGCTTCCGGGCCTAGCAAAAGAGGCCCAGGCCATTAATTTCTATACAAACTCGATTTTTTTTTTTTCATCTTTATTTAGCTCTCGAAATTCTTTCATTTTTTTGAAACCTATTATTTGGATATACACGTGTAGAATTAACTTTGTAACCAAAGTGTTTAACTTTTTTATGATCTTAAATACCACGATGAACATAGATCGTTAATCTTGTAATTAATTGTATTACAATGAAATTTATGTTGTTCTTGTTGGGTTGTGAAGTCAAAATTTTCATTAACCTTATTGCGGCTATAGAGACAAAGCAAATGGCTCCTGACCCATATGCTATTTTGGAGTCGAAACCAGATACTTCGCAGGTTTGGGGTTAAAATAAAATACAAAACTCTATAAATAGTAAAATAGATCTAGATGAAATTGCAATCATTATTATGAAATCAATAAACCCCTCTAGTTAGTTTATGTCTGAACATAGCACGATTAATTTGGTCATGTCAACTACGTTAAATCTTTGTCCTTTTACATTTTTTCTTTGTATCATTAACCGGGTATTAGTCGTTTAAAACTTAACAACCAATATCAAAGTTGTGGTTGAATACAGGAATATTAAGACATAACAAGTTTAAAGATCGGAAGCGGAAGCTATAAATAGAGATTACTCTAACACCCGGTTTTTAGGTATGAGTTTTATGTTTTAATCATATGAATTTTGGTGGTGATGATGTGATGGGGAGGATCACCACGATGTGGCAACGTCTTAAGAGTCACGCTCATTTTTAAGTGACCAAGACGTGGTCATGCATTGACCACGACTTGGCGACATTTGACGCTTAAAACCCTATATTTCAAGCCTTGGGCACTATTTAAAGGAAGCGATGACTAGGGTTTCATCCACTCTCAGCCTCCATCACCTCCAAGTGCCTTGAAGCAAACCCTAATTCCCTCTCGTCCATATCTAAGCCTTTTGTGGTGTTTTTGGTGACCTTTGAAGAAAGAAGAAGGTACTCTAATGCAAGGATTCATCAAGCAAGCACATCTCTATCCCTTGGTTTACCTTTTTTATTCAATCTTCTAGATCTAGGTTTTATGCACATTTCTTCATGTTCATGTTGGTTTGAGTGGATGGATTCAATAAAGTTGGCAATTTTATTGATCCTTAAGGTCCCAAGAAGATTAGATGCTCTAGATCTGAAGTGTTATGTAGTTTTGAGTTCATGTATGAGGTTTTTTTTTACCCCATTTCTCTCATTTTAACCTAAATTGAGTAAAAGACATACATTGGACATGCATGTCCTCAAAGCAATGAGTTTTATGATACATTTGAGTTCAAGGAAGCTTTCTAGAAGGCATTAGTATGGGGCTTAATGGATTAAGGGCTTAATCCATTAAGTTGATTCTTAATAGATACCATGACGTGGTAGCGAAACTCATCATGACTGTTTTGTCGTGGGATAGGCACGCCATGGTGACCTATTTAGTTGACTTTGACATTGACTGTTGACTTTTGACTAGTTTGACTTTTATTCAACCATGGAGAGGTTTTAAGTGGTAGCCTAAGGTTTGGTTTGTGATTGTTTAGGAGGTTCGTATAGTTGATTCTGTAGGATTTTTTAGTAGAGGATTACAACTCGATCATGTGATTTTTCTCAATATATTATGTAGGACACTAGGTGTCATGTATGCTAGATTGTCTGTACGACTTTTACATTAAAGACTATGGTGGGATCACATCACTTGTATTCAGGAATGTGGTTGGATCACAACAGTTGCATGGAAGACAATGGTGTGACCATGGCAGAAAAGATTGCAGCGGGGGTGTAGCAATAGAAGTGTCTGTAACACTATGGTGGGATCATAATATGCACATAGGTTAAAATATACCCCTAGAATGGGGCCTACTATTATGTATGGTATGTGGTATTTTGGGAAAATTAGTAAGCTTTGTGTTGATGGTTTAATATTAAATGTTTCAGGTACCTCCAGTAGCAAGGGAAAGAATCCTACTAATTTCGTTGCATCCACCGATGATTTCTATACTACGAGATTTTGGGATTTCCTCTGATATTTTTATGAAAAAAAATATACTCATGTTTAGGATTACTTGACTCGTGATATTTATGGACTGGTTTATTTAATTAAAAATTGAAAAAAAAATCTTTATATTTTAGGGATGTTATTGTTAACGTATCCCTCGGGAAAAACGTTAAAAAAGGAGAACTCAAACTAGCGCAAAGCTTGGCCTAGTTAAAATTCGGTCGTCTCCAGTATGAGGCTAAGGTTGAGCCTCCGCCAACGTGGATTCACTGGTATGGCGATTAAGGGAAGAATTACACATTGCCCTCTTCTCCCAGGAGAAATACCCCAGCAAACGTGGAACCAATCAGATAGTTTCACTTGCGCATCTGACGACAACAACGATCATCATAATAACGAAGATTCTCCTCAATCCAATAAGGCGACATGATAGAAAGAAGTGATGGAGGATCCTTCAATACGGATCCGCCACGTTACGTCTCAGGGGAGAAGGCTCAACATAATCAATTAGGAGGCAAGCGCCTGTCGATCAGTTATAAATGGACCCTTCTTCTTCATGACGAGGGGGACGAAACTCTTTTTCTATCAAAATTACCCTATCTTCTCTCAGAATCAATTCTAACTTGATCGTCGGAGCTTCGTCTTGGGAATCCCTCCCGGACGTCGTTTAATGATCATCTTTTTCTTTTGTATTATGATATCAGGAGAAGGAACTAGCACAACACTCACCCACAGTCCTAATCCAACCATCTCTGATATATCAAAACATTTGGCGCCATCCGGACGTATCTCCAAAACAATACATCCATGAAGCACAAACAAAGAGAAAAATGCCAGGCAAAATTTCGGCAACATTAAGAGCAGCGGAGAAAAGTCCAGTATGTCCAATGCAGCCACTAGATGGAGGGCAGGTTTGCATCCAAGAAGAAAACACTTCAAATTTCACACCTGTATCACAGGCATCATCCAGCTCTACAGCTGAAACAGTGGCAACCTACATAGCCAGTCTTTGACGTCCAATAGTTAACCCACCTCCACAAGCAGCAATCGTAACCACAACTCCACAGATTATCGCAACACAGCAAACAGAAATACATGTTTCGCAACAACAATTGTTTCCACATAGTTTGGGCATCAGAACATGAATCCCTTACAATATTCAACCGCGGTCACAGTATTCATCGATGGTCTACCCACACGCCACCATGACAAGCTTGTCCCATGTGTTGATGTTCATACAACAACCGTTGGTCTTCATCCTATTCGCACAACAGGATCAAGGTCTAATCCCAGATGTATCTCAGCCGTAAGTCACAGGTATGCAGACCTTTATCAACCAGGGATCCAGCTCCTATGGAACTGGCGTCCTTTTCTCATTAGCACTAGAATTCACCCCCATCGTGGCGACTGCTCAACCATTCAACTCGTCCAAGCAACAATACATGGGAGTAAACCCATACATAGTTCACCCGACAGGGCAATACACATTCCAGCAATTTGGATCGCAGCCAAATTTACAGCAGTATCAATCGTACATCTCGTCGGTGGCCATTCACTAACAAATGTACTCGAGCCCCTACTAGGCGCAACAGCATATGGTCTATGGCGATATGGCGTGCTCGTACATGGACAACCCCATGTGAAGTGCAAGATCTAATTACAACCATGAAATGTTGCAATACGTGATGCCACACACTGCGATGATACCGAACATGACAAAATACGATGACACTATTGGCTTATATGACCACATCGACAACTACGAGTGGATGATAAAATCTCTCAAGATGGATCGCCGCTTCACCTGCAACTATTTCCCCTGCACCCTAACATGAAACGCTAACAAGTTTTTCAAGTCTCTGAGTTTAGGCAATATTTCAAATTTTGAGCAGATGAAATACCTTTTCCTCAACAACTTCATGCAGTTGAGGAAAGGAAATGGGATGCCAACTTTGTGATGACGTGTAAGCAAAGAGAAGGAGATTTGATTCGTGACTATTACGATCGATTCACTCTAGCTTCTTTGAATGTACCAAGACATGAAGAGTTCCTAGTGACGGGTGCCTTTTGATGGGTTTTATACAAACAATCCTATGTCTACATGCAACCCTAGCATTGGATCTATGTTTTCACTATTAGATACACAACATTATGAACACATAACAAAACCCTAAAGATGATTGCTATTTTCGAAATTAACCAAGAAGGTTAGATTACATACCTCTTGTTGTTATATTGTAATAACAACTTGAATCTTCAAACCCTAAGTCTTGAAAGCAAGCACCACAAGTGTAGTGCTTCTAATGACTCACAAACACCAAGAGCAATTAGAGAGGCTATAGAGAAAGAAGGAGAGGTATAAAATTCGTCCCTAAGAAGCCTTGGGAAGGTATGGATGAAATCATCAGCCAAAGGGGTGTTTATATAGGTGTAGAGATAGGGTTTCAGTCCTTATCCTTGTCTAGTTGCTTGCCCACCAAGCAACCCACAAGATAAGCCTTGAATCCTTATCATGAACAAATTCTAAGGCCTTATCACCTTAAATTCGTCCAACCTATCCTTAGGATAATCCTTACCCTATTTTGTAACTATCACGTAATTACAATTCAGCCCCTCTAGTTTAATTAATTACATTTGATCACAAAATTAATTCTTAATTAATTATTGACCAATATTAATTAAACAAATATGATTTCTACTTTAATATATTATTCTTATAACATATTAATAAATCATAATAACCTCTTTCTCTATTATTTCTCCAGTCAAGTTGCTTTGGTGAAGGCAACCCAAAAGGACCATGCACAATCGGGTCAAGTACTTACCAATTATGGTTACAGGCTTAGACACTAATCCAACAGTCTCCCAATTGAATAAGTCTAGTAACTACAAATGTAAGTACACCTCGATTTGCAATCGTAGCTCTCAAAGACGCTGTCAAACTCTAATCTTATCAGTAACCTGTCCTTCAGATAAGGGATCGTATATTCCTCCATTCTAGATATCGTATAGACACGAGACATGGATTAAAATCATTCTATCAGTCTATGTGTTGTTTCTCGATTTCCGATTCATGACGACCGACTAGTTTAACAAATCAAATTAGCCCTAGACCGACTGAGCATTTACGTTTGTCATCACTAAATCATCGAGGGGCCCACAGATATCGCTTTTATCCCACTTTGGGTAAAAGGAATGGATAAACTTCGACTCAATGTTTGCTTGAACTCACTCACCAAGTCACACACAACAATAAGTTTTATAACACCGAGTTACCGGTGCATTTACATATTATCAATGTGCAACCGATTCGCAAGATACAACTCACACATCTCAGTTTCAAGAATACAAGATATTATCGTCTCATCAATCGCTCGTGATAAAATCCATGAAGCGATCCAAGTGAACGTGGGTTTAATCCAATGCTCAAAATCATATTCATAAGCACTCATGAATGTTGTAGCAAACCTTTTCTATGTCTAATACGCTCTAGACAATCTACAAACCAATTCATGACAATCTCTATTCATACTTACTTCCAACGTATGACTGACTATGGTCTATTTGAATACTTCGATTATTCTTAATAAACTCAATTATTCTGGAAGTCAAAACATGCAAACTGAAACACAAAGGTAATACTAATCCTATATGGTCCCAACCCTTGAGTATAAATAAAACATATTGATTACTCATTATCTATTGTTTAACGTTTCAGATAATCAACTTTATAACTTGAATTATAACCACAATTGTCCCATGCTCCAAGCATGCACATTTTGGTTTTCAATGGTCTATTACTTTGTGAAATAGATCAAGTGAACACATTTTCAATCATTCTCATTTCATAAATCCCAATTCTTTATCATAAGCATAAGAATATCAAATTCTTGTCACTTATAGAATATGTCAAATTCTAATATTTTATGCAATGATCCTCTTGTGAAGTTACAACACAAAATCACAAAGACTCGGCCATCGAAATCACAAGGTACTCTATCAAAATAGTTACAGAACTATTCTATAGATGTGATGTCTCTCACTCAAAGTACATTCCTTGAACATCCTTTTGCATAAAAAATTTCTAATCTAGACATAAATTCTTAACTTCCAACTCCCATTTATGGAAACATTTCCGTATTTACTATATGACAACTCATTCTTAATAGAATATTATCTATTCATAATGATGTCGATATGGTCCATTCAATGCCATACTTCCAACTACTCACAAGCGATCAATCCTCAGGGAGCTTTGGATCGTCCTTTGATAGTTGTTTAATTATCTTTAGTCAAAACCAATTCTTGTCCTTTTTCTCTCTTAATGCGATATACATTTGGAAAATTTTAGAATGGTCAAATATTATAGCATTTGCAATTGATCCTATACCGAAGCGTATGGGACACGATGTATAATGTCTTACATGAAGATACGATACTCTATCAATCTTCTGCCATAACATTTTATGTGTCACGTTCTTACAATTCGAACTATGAAGAAGGATACCGTAATCATAATCAAAATTTAAGAACACACTATGTATCCTTTGACTAAATTTATTAAAATTTCTCAATCTAAGCTTTAGATTATGAAACGAAGTACAATATTCTCTCCCTTAATTATAGCAAAACAACTTATCAACTCTTATGACATTGCAAAGTACTACACTTGTTTTCTATAATTAATATTGCTAACTTGCAATACTTACCATAATAATCATGCTCCCACTTACATGATGATTATTTCTTTACCAACATAACACATATGCTCCCATTAGCTTTGACATGTATTCAGAAATCAGCTGAACTTCTAGAAAACAATTTCTTAAGTTCATATTTCTAGATGCTTCGATAAGACTCTATCTAAGCTTCTTAAACTCATACACCTTTCCTTGGACAACTCATATGTATATGTCTAAACGATTCTAGGACTCATATCAATAAGTCTAAGATGTTCAGACCTATTTTCCATTTCCCACAATTCGAACTATGTAGAGGTATACCGTAATCAAAGTTGAATTTGAGAAACCCAAATCATATAATGCTATCTTTGAAATCTCTCTTAGTGAAAGTGTTTCCTTACAATCATTCTTATGAATGAAAGAAACCTTATGACACTTAGATTTTGTGGTGTAATCGTTCTCATCCATGTGAATTTTTCATAACCATAATCACAAGATAATGTTAGTGACAAATCCAAACTCTTATGGATAGAACTTCCTCTTCTTAATTTCTTGCCATGAAGGGTCCCACCATTACTTCCAAGTTATTTAGCAGCTCACCCCTTCATTTCAATGTACTTTCTATTGAACAAGGTGCCTTGCCCCTATACAATCCATTGAGAACTCGTAGAACTCACTTGCATAATTAACTCAATTCGGAATGGCACAGAAACAAAATAGTGTCAACATGATAGGTCGTAAACCTCAAGTCGTGTGCTAGTGTTGTATTATAAGGTCTATTATTGATTTGTTCTTGAAACCTTTCAATACCATTAAGACTCCCACTGACTCCTTGACATATAAGATTCCCTTGTTAAGAAACATTTCTTGACAAACAAATATTCAAGAGTTAGTGCAGCCTTTATCAAGACAAAACTCTTCACATAATTGGTCCTAGTTGGTCTTTGTCTTATCCAAAACATCACAACTTACCAATTTCAAATGTGCAAGAACAAGAAAAACCCTTTTTCCAAACTTCACATTTGACGAATGTTATAAATCTTCTTAAGACTTATCACCTAATTCACAATCTTGGAGTATAACTCTAAGACTTGACATTGGAACGAAGCATGATTGACTTCTTGATTTAACCATTTTCACAATTCTCGTCTCCTCTTCTTAGACATAGAAATTGTACTAAGAATTAATTAGAGGATCAATTGAGATATGATTCTTAATCATTAAGTCCTATCACAATAAAATGTACTCTCCCTTCTTCTTAGAACGGAGAAACTTTTATCTTTCTGCCTACTTGATTCTTCTTATTCGTTCTGCTATTGATTGAAACTCTT